AGACATGGAAACTATAAAACTAAATACGACAACGTTAATGAAAGCAGGTAAAGAACTAGGGCTCGAAATAAACGCGGATAAAACAAAATATATGGCTAGCTGCAAAAATGGCGATATTACTGATGATATCCATATAGATGGTAATATGTTTGAACAGGTAGAGAAATTTAGGTATCTAGGTTCTACAATAACTAGGAAAAACGAAATTGAAGAAGAGATTAAGGTTAGACTGAAGGTGGGAAATACTTGTTATTTTTCTGTAACAAAACTGCTTAGCTCGTGCCTCTTGTCCCTGAACTTAAAAATTAGAATCTATAAAACCATTATCTTACCTACAGTTCTGTATGGATGCGAAACTTGGCCGCTTATATTAAGGGATGAGCAGTATCTTAAGGTTTTTGAAAATAAAGTATTGAGTAGAATATTTGGACCGAGGAAGGATGAGTTAACCGGAGAGTTCAGACGGATACACAACGCTGAATTGCATGAACTGTATCCGGGTAGTATAATTGAGGTAATTTCATCATGGCGAATCAAGTGGGCTTATAAAATTGTTAGGCTTAGTAACGAGAGAATTCTTAAAAGGTTAATATTTGCTGTACCGAATGGTAAACATCCGAGGGGTAGACCAAAGCAATGTTGGGAAGATTGCATTAAAGCTGATCTGAAGGGACTGGGCTTGAACGGCGAACGGTGGAGGAAGGTGTGTAATAAGCGATTGGTGGTGTCGGCAGCCTTTTATTATTATTATTATTTATAGCTTCCACTTTTTAAACTTTAAACTTTTAAATATGAGTTTGTTTTGAAATAAAAATATATAACTTTTTGGATTCAATTTTATAGGAGGATATTTTTTCGTGCCGTTTACTAAAATAATCATATTCCTCAGGAGTTTCTTATAAGTCAACATAACTACAACTGTTGGAAAGCTTAATTATTGCTCTTCAAAACCATACCGACAACTTGTAGATTTTATCTCTTTATAAGGAATAAATGAAGAAAAATTCTGCATACATTTTTGTTTTTATATGCATGCCTAATTTATTTGCAGGTGTCTATTTTGAGTTTATTATAAGGTTCTAAATTCATGTTAATTTCGTTGGGATACACGGAGACATGTCGAAGTTATCTCCATTTTTGTGATTTGGAAAAAAAAAAAAGAGCTATAAAAGGTAAAATATTGAACGAATGCAACACAAATTCTTATTTGTTGGTTTTTAGAGGTGCGAAAAATTAATTAATCTTTGTTTATCCCAAAAATATATATATATTTTTTAATAGAATAGAAAATGATCTTTATTCTGGAACTAGGTCCCTTAAGAATAACAATATTTTTCATACCAATTGACAATAAATCTGGCCAGATGACCTATTACAATAAAGAATACCTAAAATCTAAGCAATAAAATAAGTAATACATAGCTTTGAGGATATATTAAGGAAAGCAGATGGGTATGGGGTTTACAATATTACAATATTGGTGCAAAAAAAACATACAAATAACTAATTAAAATTGGAAATAAATGCTAAATAAGTTTTATAGGCAAACTATTTTAGTGATAAAATATTTAAAAAATAATAATAAATAAACAACTAGATTAAATAAATGATTTACATATGTTCCTTAAGAAATTTAAGTGAAAACACATGAAGATATTATGAAAAACTAGACAAGTATTGTGATCTACCTATGAAATGATAGATTACGAGCAGATGAAAAAAAAAAAAAATATATATATATATATATACATATATATAGAATAGAAGAATCAGCTTTATTCTGGGACAAAGTCCCTTAAGAATATCAATTTTGTACATAAAAATTAACATACCATCTGGCCAAAATACATATTACAATAAAAAAAATAACTAAAAACTAAGTGATAACAAAAGTATTTACCTTATTACATTTACATTACTGAACTTGACTAGACATCTTTTCCATGCTCAAAAAAGAATATATATTTTATATACAAATGATAAATAGAGAAAAATGCAATTTTGTTACATGATAAATGGCTACCCAGCAACTGATTGAATTGTAAGGAGGAATTGGAATAGGAGGGTTTTAAACTATGGATAGGGATTTTAAGTGGGATGGAATTCCAAAAGGTAGTGGAGCGGACAATAAAGGATTGTTGAAATGAGGCAGATTTGTGGAAAGGGGTATAAAGGTCAGAAGGACGAAATCTTGTGGAGAGGGAGTGGATAGATAACTTGAATTGAAGGAGATTGAATGCGTAGGACGGACGATGATTATAGATTATTTGGTAAAGGAATGTACCTAGGAGATATTGTCTTCTGAAGGTGGGGAAGAGCCACCCTAACTCGGCGTAGTAGTAGATACACGAGAACGTCTCGGGGTTCCATTGACAAAATCTTACTATGCCATTCATGATTCTTTTCAATCTGTCTTCAAGTTCATGAGAGGCCACCGTACACTACGCAGCCGTAGTCAAGGTAGCGGATACTACATGTGGAAATGGCTGAAGAGATGGAATAGTTTCTAGGTACCAATTGACTGTCGGGAGATGTGATATTGCTCACAGGTGTTTCCAGGAGAGGGTTTGCCCTATGAAAATGCCTAGGTTTTTTACTGAGGAGGTGAAGGTGATGGGATGGTCATTTAGGTACAGGATAGGAATGTTGGTATTGGCTCTGGCTGAGAAGGGGTTTGGAACCAATGACAATGGCCTGAGTTTTTGCAGCGTTTAATCTTAATCCATTTAAGTTTGCCCAGGCACTGATCCGATTCAAGTCTTCTTGAATTTTGGCAAACGCTTCATACAACTCTTAGGGATGGAAGGAAAGGTAAATTTGGGAATCATCAGCATAGAGGTGATGGGAGCAGTGAAGGATTAATTTATGGATGTTGTTGATATAAGAACTAAAAAGGAGAGGAGATATGCTAGAGCCCTGGGCCACTCCTGAGGACAGAGTATGATAGGAAGACAAGGGTTGATTAGGGATAGCGACAGCTTGTGAGCGTTGAGAGAGGAAAGATTGAAACCACAGGATAGAACTATTGGAAAAGGATAATGATTTTAATTTGGAAAAGAGAATGGAATGGTTAATGTTATCAAAGGCTTAGGAAAAGTCAAGAAGTATAAGGAAAGTTAGTTTTTTGTCATCTATGGTGGACTGAACGTCATTAATGATTTTGATTATTTTATTACGATAGTTTGAACAAACTTTTTTTGCTACATTTCTTAGAGTTAGGGGTAAGGTGGCCAACTTTCCACTCTTCTGGTACTTTACCTTTGATTATGCAGTGAGTCATATACTTTGAAAGGGATTAGATAAGTTCTTTCGGTCCATTTTTTATTAGCTCTATTGGGACATCACCTGGACCTGCAGATTTATGGTTTTTCATTCCTTTCAGGGCGAGAGTTATGTCTTCAACTGATATGGGTAGAAAGCCCTCCTTATCCCAGTTGTCTGTTTCCTACTTGTTGGTCGAGTAGTATAGGGCAGTCACTTTTCCTTTAGTAGGCTTGAAAAATACTGAACGCAGATATCTTTACATAATCTCATTACATATTTATAAACAAAATTTTGTTTTGAAATCAGCAGTTATTGAGTACGAATATCTCGGAAACAATATAATATAGAGAAAATGAATATCATCAATCTTGTAATTTTTTTTAGCTTTAATTTTGTATTGAACTTATATTTTGTTTATCACTAAGACATATGGTTTTCCTGATATGAGCATCGAATAAAAGAAGTGACCCCACCTTTGTCTCATCACATGAGACTGAAAACTCTCAGTATGGGGACTCCTTACTAGGCAAATCCTCTAACTCAAAAAATATGTTCCTTTCATTTCCCTCTATACCCCCTTTTTGAGGACTCATGACTGGGCCTCTATAGGCCAGAGTGGCCGAGTGGGCTAACGCATGTGCACAACGTCCTAGCAACCTGATATATGAGATAATTGACAAAAATAATTACGAGTTCGTGTACCGGTGCCAAGGGGAGCTTTTAACTCTGGCATTAATCTCCTACACTCACCCATTGGCCCGGGAAAACCCTGTATATCTTAAAAGGCGAGGACGAAAAAAAAAAAGACTGGAAGACTGGGCTACGAGGTAAGTAGTGGTGAAATCATGTTTGTATTTGTAGGAAAGGGTTTAATTTCTTAAAAATATTTAAAATTTTATTAATTGAAAAAAAGATACTTTATCTGTTTTTAGATATTTCTAATACTTCGTTGAAAACAAGCTTCCATTCCAATTCATTTTGAAAGTAATTTAGTTGAAATATATATTGCATTTTATTAAACTTACAAATATCTTCATTTTCATTATTTTATTTATTTTTTTTTTTTTTGTATAGAACTGTTTGTTGGCTTGATTTTGGTGGCTCAAATAAAGCTTTAAGGAAACATTCCAACTTTTCAGGCCTTTGGAAAATAGAGTTTTGCCAGATTTGTGATTTCATTAGATCAGAAAGTTTTGTATATTATTGGAGAATATTTTTCTTGTGCGTGTGAAGATACATAAATTTTGTTCTTGTGTCAAAATTTGGAAGAAAATAAATATTAAGGAAGTTAAAAGTTTTTAATTTGAATTGATTTTTCATCTCATTGCTACCATATCTATAGCATTAATTTTTCATTAATTTCATAATTATATTTTATTTGATTTATTATGTGTTTTATAAAAATAAAATTTGATTTCTCTAAGGGTTTTATTTGAACCCTGGGAAGTTATATTCTTGAATTCAACTTTATTTTAGCTTAAATTTTGGTTGCAACTTTTGTTAAAAGCATTGACAAAAACACATTTATTTAAGTTGCTAATGTCTCATTTAAAATAAGCCACAACTAGATATTAAACTTTGTTTATTTTCTTTTAAATAATATTATTTTATTTTTTGTATATCCTTGTGAATCTTTTTCATTACTAATATTTGAATTATTGATTTAATATTGCTAAATTATTCTTTGAATTCAGTGTTGAAATGAGAGTTATTTATTTATTTTTTTTTTTTTCCAGCTTGGAAGTCAAGTTAAATCCTTATGTATTGAGCTTTATATTCGAGGATTTACTACAAACATTAACTTAATTGAGCACCATAAATCTTCCAGTGATGATGAAAAAATTCTTAAAGCTGAAATTCTTTTATCTCACAGTTTTTTGGAACTATCTGAAATTCTTTGTGATAACATAATCATTTATAAAGAATGTTTACTTACTGCATTTTCACTGTATCCCACAAAGGATTGTTTAAAGCGTTTAGAAAAGGCTGCATTATTATGTGGTTCCTGTAAAAATGAAAGTTCAGATTTAAAAGATCAAGATAATATTTGGAATAATTGCAAAAATGTGTCATGTATTTTAAAAAATAAAAAAACAGAAGAACAATTCATTGAGGCCGTTAATGGTTTAAATATTTTAAATTCAGAATTGTTGGGTTTGGCTCCACATCTTTGTGATGATCTTTCAACCGTACTTTCTAACCCAAGATGCCAAACTTTAAGCTGGTCATTAGGATGGATGATATTAAAAAAAAAGTGTGAAGATTATTTGACTGCTTATTTTGATAAAGAAAAAAGAAATAATCGAAATCCTGAATTAAAATATTTAAACATTGACTATTCTCAATTTGAAAAGCAGCCATTTAATAAAAAACATGATCACCCACAGAACAAAACCAGGAGGAAAAAACTGAGTCAATTTTCTGATTCAAATATAATTCAAGTTACTGAAAATAGTTCCTCTAAAAGTACAGCTAAAACAAATAATGAAAAGAAAGTTGGTGAAAAAAGTATTCTGAAATTGTCTATGCTAAAGATTAATGAATTAAATACTAAAAACAATTTCCTATTATCTGACAAAAATCAAATAACTCAAGAGCCATTTGTTCCCACAAAACCAATTATCATTAAAAGAACTTATTCACGGAAAAATGATAGGTCCAACCAAGCCGAACAGAAAATTCAGAATATCATCAGTGAAAATACATTGCATCAGGGTAATATTGGATCAGCCTTTCTTAGTGATTATAATCCATACTCTGGAAATTCTGTCCAGAGTCCTAAACCAGCGGAAGTTCCCCCAGAGACTCCAGACTCCAGTTATCATGATTCAACGTATCAATCAAAGTTAATTCCTTTACTGAATCAAAAAGTTCTTATAAATGATAATTATGGTAGATCTACTAAAAGTCCTTCAATAACTTTTAGACATAACTCGGCAGAATTCAATAGAAGTAAAAGTTCTCTTGTAAATCAGCCTGCATCGAAGAACAAAATACTTGCCAAATATATTCCTGGCATGAATTCTCTGGATTTAATTGTTCCTCTAAGGCCTGAGCCTACAGTCCAGGTAGTACAGATACCTAGCCCTAACACAATTCTTCAGCCTGTTTCTTCAAATTCCCCTTCAGCAATCCAGACAAATAGCACATCAATTGCCATTTCTAAGCCTTTGACTGAACCCATTAATACACAGTCAAATAATGTTGTTACTTCACACTCTCAGGCTCATTCTCAAAGTATTCAAACGTCTATTGAATCTACAAATAATTCTAATTTTTTGTTAACAACTGTGGTAAATCCTGGAACATTAACTCGTATTCACAGCTCTGATCAAAGGCATACAGCAACCCATGTTGCCACCAACTTAGCCTTAGCGAGAACACAGCAAAAGCCTTCTTCTTCAGATTCAGGTGTTTCAGAAAATGTGAATGTTTCAACAGATTCTATGAGTGTTGGAGTTAATACGTCATCTCATGAGGGAAGCACACCAGTTACAGCTCATATCCAACGTGTTGGGCAGCCGCATAAGGCTAAACACACACAACTCTATGATGAATCCAATGTTTTGAAATCATCCAGTTCAAATTCAAGTGTTCATATTCCTGGAACTATACAAATTTTTGATGAATCAAACAAAGTTTCCTCTTCTTCCCAATCTAATGCTGGCACTGTTTCTGGTTCTGTCTATAGGTTCATTTTAAAAGATGGTAAGATTTTGGAACAATATTGTCATAGCAATCAAAATGCAATTTTTCAACTTCCAGATCTTTTACAAGAAAATAATTTACAAAATTCTGTTCAACAAGAACATGTAATTAAATTGTTGAAAAAAAAGAAGGATCCGAAGAAAGAAGATTCTGTTAATGCTGAAAGTACTCAAATTCCTAGTTTGCCTCAATTCCATCAAGTTTTTCGACGACAAGTATATCAAAGTGGCTCCATTATTGAAGGGGCTTCTATTCCTCCTTCTCCTAGCCAATTCAGTGAAGATTCTTCATCTGAAATTCAGAAACAAGAAAATCCCTCATCACCTCTTTCAAAAGCTGTCCAGACAGTTTTGAAAGAAGACTCTAAAACAAAACAGTCCACTGATAAGACAAATGAGGATGTTCCTACAAATGCAATAGCTAACCAGAATACTATCAAAGTTTCTTCTGTTTCTGAAAACAAAGAATCTGTGTCCGACTTACAATCAACATCTGGTGTCATTTTTACTTGTAAAGTACCCATATCTCTTTCAGGAAATACAGTTTTACAAGCTAAACCTGTTTCAATACTTAAAACTTCTAATGCTCATGATGTCTCCAGAACTAGTCAAAAGGTAGATTTGGATTCTAAAAGTAAAGATTCTGTGATAAGAAGTAATATGAATGCATTACTTGCTGCTGCTTTACAAAATAATCCCCTTAAATCTAATACATCTGACTCTAGTGATAATTCTACAATTCACACTGTGAAACAGATAAAAGTTGGTATACAAGAAGTGAAATCTGATGGCTCTTCTAAAATCAGAATGCCTTCTCCTGCACAAAAAACTGTTAAAAGGCAGCCCTTAGTTCAGCATAATGTAACAAGATTTTCAAGACCAAGTACTCATGTTTCTTCTGGTACTACAATTAACCAGAATGCTCCACCTGTTGTTACTATACCTCTACCCACAAGAACTGTGCAAGTTTTAACTAATATTAATCAAAATCCCTTACCAAATTTGTCCAAAATTGATAGTAGACGAGATCAGAACATTTCTCAAAACAATGACCAGTCTTCAGTTAGTTCCACTACATTAGAACAATTAAGAGAATTTGAATCCGTCCTGGAACAAGTTACCAATACATCTCAAATGAAAGAAAGAAGTAATGTAAAGAAGACAGAATCTTTAACTTTGGTGCAAACATCAAATCCTGAATTTTCTAACTCTGGACCATCTAAAGTGAATACTTTATTTCAGACTTCTTTAGTGAGTGCTATTTCTGATTTAAACGCAGATAGAGTTAGTCTTACTTTTATCAGTAAGTCCTCCACTACTTGTTCCAATACATTAATCACTAGTAATTCACCAAAAATATCAGCCTCTACTCCAGTTGTTGTTGTACAGAGTTGCAGTCGGCCTCTAACATCTCCTGCATTGAGTATAAGTTCTCAAAATTCTCCAGGTTCTTCTCCTTCTACCCCACCATCCAACTCCCAATCAAAAATTAACTCTAAACTTACCAAACCTAAAACTAAATCAATTGGTAAAACAGCACCCACAGCAACATTAAAAGTTTCAACTTTACCGAAACCTCAACAGAAGCCTCAAGAAGATGAACAAACAACCCAAAGAATTTATGCTATTTTAGATAAATATGCTGAACAGCTTAGAAACTCACCAGAGTTAAAAAACAAACCTGCTCCTAGAAGACGTTCAAATCCTCCTACTAATCCTTCACAATCTTCCAAACGAAAAAAGTCATCTCAAGGAAAGTCTAAAAGCTTTACAAGTATTCCATCCTGTTCTGGTTTGGAGATGAGTCCTTGTTCTGAAGATTTAAGAACTGCTGGGAGTGAAGATAGCTCAAATGGTGTTAGTCAGGTTACACAAACCATTAGTTCTCCACAAAGTAGAAATGAGGAACATTCTAACCCTTCAGATGTTGTGCCCGACAAATCTGAATCATTAGATAAAGAACAACGATTACAGCATAGAATTTTACTTGCAGATCAAACATCAGGCTCAGGAAGAACAGTTATAGTACAAGATAATGTTCAGCCAGTTATTAGTGTGGAAGGTACCAAAGTTATTGCAGGTAAACAGCTTGTTGTTGGTAGTGGTGCTACAGTTCCTCTTACATTATCTCTACCTGGTGCTGGAAACGTAAAACAAGTGTTGTTTCCAGTTCCTGCTGATGGTCGACCTTTTGTTGTTGCAAAAGTTCCAAAAATGTATAGGTTTCATCAAGTAACTATGCCCAGTGGTTCACCTCTGATTGCTTCAGCTAGTTCTGGAACTGTTCTTTTGAGACAAATGTGTCTGAATAAGTCTAATTCCACATTAAAACAAGTCAAACTTCCTGTAGTTTCTCAAATATCATCACATATGGCTTCTCAACCAACCGTAGTTTTGCCATCAGGTTCTCAATCTTTTACTTTATCTGCTGGCTCTACTACTATTGACAATGATATAGGTATAACCCTGGACAATACTATTTTACTTAATTCTTCATCAACTTCAGGATCATCTATTGGATTTCTGCAAAGAAATTTGTCAAAAACAACACAGGCTTCAAATGTTTTAGCAAACAATCGTACTGTAACTTCTCAAGAATCTAGTCATGTCCCTGCCTCTAGCGAAGTTATGGTATCTGTAAAAACTGAGGGTAATTTAATACATACTGAAAATTTAAATGCAGATTATTCTAAATCTTCTGTTAATAATAAGGATATTAAAAGTGAAGAAATTAAATTTTGTTCAAATAATGAAAACACTGAAGAAAAGTCTAGAAAAACAGTTCCTGTAATATCTTCTCCTACATCGAATACTAATTGGGCACAAGCCCTGAAAGATGCTAATGTGAATTGTAGTATATTAAATAAAATTAAGGAGAAAGAAGGGAAGGATAATGTTCGAAGAGAATCTTCAGATGTCAAAGGTAATTAATTATTGAAATTAACTCATTTCATTTTTCTTGGTTCCTAAAATTATTAACATTAAATATTTTTGATGGGGATGAAAATGATAATTTTTCACGAAAATTGTATCCCCTTAATTTAAAGATAATAAATATTCTGTTATCATATAAATTAGCACAAATCTTCCTCAACATTCAGTGAAAAACAATGTCAAAATAAATTAGTCACCCAAACACTTCTAGTAATAAATGTAAAGGTATGAGGTTCATCAGTACTTTTAAATGACTTATGCCTTGTTAATAATACTTAGTAATAATATTTTTAAATGATCTGATAGCGATTCCGTTGTGGTAAATCAGATATTCTCTATGGGAAAGGGGAGTTATCAATACTTATAAACAAATAAATCCATTTTAGTTAACTTACTCCTGTATTTAAGCTCTAGGTTTATTGTGGAAGTTTAATTTTTAATTATTTATGTTCTTTGAAAAACATTATGCAAGTGAGAAATAAACAAATATGGGCTTAGATTAGAGATATGAGTTGTCTGATTCTTATATTTCTTTTGCTTAAGAATGTCCTGTACAATAAATATTTTTAGATACACTTTTTGGCAACATGGATTGCTTTAACAAATTTTTTAAATAAAAGTTTCATGGAAATAAGTTCTAGTTCTAAAAGAACATAAAAACAATAAATAATTCAATGATAACTAAACAGAAAAAAAAAAAAATCAGAACTGATTCAAAATAAAAGTCAACTTCTCTTTTCAAACCTGCCTACTAACAGTTTCTTAATAGTGAATTAGGAGAGATGAGTTCATCTTTGATAAAACTTAGTTATTTTGTACTTTAATCTAATTGTTCTTGTAACAATTTCACAGCTGCCGATTTTGATGAAGCATGTAATATGTGTTTTTTATTGGTGTATTAATGGTCCTTTATTGGTAAAACAACTCGTCCATGGGGGAGAGGTGTAGCAGCAATTTTCATTACTTGGTGCTGAATGGGTCCTCTCCCCTTTGGGACTTATTCTGTTGATCTTCTTCTTTGTCTTCCTCCTTAGTGCCTTTCAGCATGGAGGGGCTTCGACCCATTTACGCCAGTCATCACGGTCCCTCCCTAGGTCCCTCATATAACCCAACTGCTAGCCTCATCTCTGTCCGAGATTGGTTATTTGGTCAATCCAAGTTTTCCGTGGACGTCCTCTTGTCCTCTTTTCTGAGGATCTTTCCTCAAGAAATTTTCTGGGTTCCCTGTCCTCGTCCATCCTGATAACATGACCGTACCATTTGAGCGTTTTCTTTTCTACGGTTTCCAGCATTGGTCTCACCTTAAAATTTTCTCTAATCCGTTCGTTTTGGATGCAATCTCTTCTAGTTCGGCCAGCTACTCTTCTCAGATATTTGATTTCGGCAGTGGTAAGTTTACTTTTGTGCCTATCTAGAAGGATCCAGTTCTCACTACCGTACAGTAGGGATGGAAGGTAGAGTGTGTTGTATATATTGATCTTAGTTATATTTTCCACCTCTCGTTTTCCTAAGACCGTGTTGCAGATCTGGTAATAAATGCCATTTGCTTTTTTTGATCCTGTTTGATATCTCTTGGTTTATTTTTCCATTTCTATCAACAACTGTCCCTAGGTATGTATATTCCTCTACCAACTCCAGATTCTTACCCCTACAGTTTATTTGTATGTGTTCGATTTCTCGACCTATCTGCGTAATCTTACTTTTTTCTTTATTTATGATCATATCTTTTTTCTCAAACTCATCTTCCCATTCCACAATCGCTTGCTGTAATTTTGCGGATGAGTCTGTTATGAGAGCAATATCATCTGCGTAAACGAGGGCTTGGGCTAGAATTGTTCTCATATTCCATTTTTCTATAATTGTTCTTCCATTACTACATTTAAAGATTTTCAGAATCTCATCCATAAACACAATATATAGTAGGGGGCTGAGACTGTCGCCTTGTTTGACCATATTAAAGCTGTTTGATTCCTTCTCGTTGATCCTTACTATACCCTTAGAATCTTTATATGTCGATTGTATTGTATGGATAAGGTCTTCTGGGATGGTCTTATTTTTCAGTGCATTCTATATTTCTTTCCTTGGCACCAAATCAAAATCTGTTTTTATATCTAAAAAGGCCAAATACATAATTTTGTCTCGTTCCCACGCTTTTTCTATAATTGTCGTTTTTTTATAGTATGGCGTCTTGGGTTTATCCTGATGGTCTGAAAGCTGTCTGTTCTCCTTCTAATTGATTTTCCACCAAGCCTCTCAATCTTCACTCAAAAATAGATGTATACAACCTGAGACAAACTGACATGCCTGTTGTTTTGGCATTCGCTCTGACACCCTTTCTTGAATATGGGTATAATTATATTACATTACCAATCCTTGGGTATCCTTCTTTCTTCATAAACGTTTTGAAATAGAGCTTGAAGTGCCCCAATTATACTTTTCCTTCCATATTTTATGAATTCAGAAGCAATGCCATCTCTCTCTGGTGCTTTTCCTGTCTTGAGTCTTTCCACAGCTGCTTCCACTTCTTCCCACGCAATCCCATCATCTTCAAGGTGTTCACGTTGTCGCTCTGCATTTTCTTCCTCTCCTAAGTTTCTTCCTAAGTTAATTTCTTCAAAGACCTGAGAATAGTGCTGTCTCCATCTTTCAAGAACATCCACATCATTAGATAAGATTTTGCCGGATATGTCTTTTATATTTTGCATAGGTTTGCATCTTTTGCCTTTTATTGCTTTGACCTTTTTCCAGAAAGAGCTGTTATTTTCTTTTATTCTGTTAATCATCATGTGTAATGTATATATATTTTTTGTTTTTTACATATTTTAGTTTCAAGGAAGAAACATTTTTTTTCTTTATTGTTATTTTTCTTAGTTCGAAAATACAAGATCTCAAGATAGGCTCTTGCTTTTATTCACCCCAAGAAGCTTTATAATAATTTTACTGAGCAAAAAATATTAAAGAAGTTATTAAATCTAGTAGGGATGTTAAAGTTATTGCCTTTCTCCCCTCCTATTTAATTTGCTCCAGGGTACGTCATTAAAATGGTGATTTTATGTACCATATATTATTTACCATAAAAAGTTTAGCTCAGGATATTGAAATATTCCTGTTTGGGTGTGCTAATGATTTGGTGCTGCTAGATCAAGTAGGAATTACTAAAATTAATAACAATAGACCAGTAAAGAATTGGTTCATAAAATAAGTATGGATAAATCATACTACAATATATTGTTCTTAAAAGAAATGGTGATAATTTTGGTGATACCATAATAAGAGGGAATACATAAAGAAATTTAAGTATTTGAGGGGATCTACAAAATCTGAAGAAAATAAAAGGAAATCCGAGATGAGATAGGTGTGAGGTTAAAGGTAGTAAATGGCCATTTTTTAGTTGCAAAGTTATTTAGCTTTTACCTTCTTTCTAATAAGTAAAAATTATAATCAACAAAATTATTACCCTTTTTACTGTTTTTAAGGAGTATGAAATGTGGCTGAATATTTTGAAGAAATAACACCTTCATATCTCCTCAAGAATGTGTTATTGTGTTAAATATTTGATCTCAGGTAAGATGAGACCTCTGGTGAATTTAAAAGGGTAAACAATACAAAATTGCTGCGCATACTCCCTGTTTTAAATGGGTTTGTAAAGTTATAGGTTGGATTTACTAATGAGATTATCTCTACAAAGTTAATAAGCTCAGAGCCAACTGGTAAATATATGAGGGGTAAATTGATGTGTAGGTGGGTACATTGTGTTAAGGATAATCTTATTGATTAGGTTTTGGATGGATAGACATATGTAGGCAACAATTGGTGTTATAGGCATTGAACTGTTAGGTTTGCAAATCCTTTTATAATGATTTCTAATAATCAACAAGTTCTTTTTTTGTTTAATGTAATTTTTCCTTATTTTATTCTTCATTTTATTATTCTTTGGTTTGAGATTTTTATACATCTTATTTTCATTACTTTATTTATTTATTTCCCTTTTGAAAAACTTACTATTAGAATTGATATAATAGGGACAGAGTATAATTTAAGACATTTCAATTGAAAATAAGATTATTTTCTTTTTTTGAATATTTTATATTACCTTGGTTTGCCAACTCTATGGTGAAATGGATAATTTGTGTTATTCATTCCATTTATATTAAATACAGATATGGTGTAATTATTATGATACATACAACAATATTTATACTACTTTTATTTCTTTCTTGTTTCAGCTTTCTCAGTTTCTTCCCTCCTTCCTTTCATTCCTTTTCTCTGTTTTTAACTCTTTATTATATTATACATTGTCTGTACATCTTGATAGACTTTACAAGATCTCAATTTTCTATCTAACTACTCCATTCTCAATGTCTTAATTTTACTATTTATTTTCATTTCTTATATAACTTCATATTTCTTTTTTATGTTTTACATTTTATTCTAAGATTCCCATTTTAACACTTATGTCACCCTTTTTGATTATGCTTACTTCATCATTCCACACTTTGTAACGGTTATTATTATTTATCTCTTAGTTCTTACTATTGTCATCATTCTAACAATTTCATTTTACTTTAATTTTTTTCTTTATATTTTTTTTTTTTTACCATCACTACTTATGTTTCTCATACCTTGTTATCTGGTTATTTTCTTAGCCCTGATGAAGGCCTGAACTTAAGGTCGAAACATCGGCATATGTAAAAATAAATATTATCATTTATTTTTGCCTTCTTTTTTGACTGACCACCCCAACTATTCTTCTCTTCATAAAAATAAATAAATAAACCTCTTTACTGTAAAACATAGGAACTTCATACTTTGGTGTAAAAGCCATTCTCAAATCTGCCCCTTTACTTTTTTCTTACCTCATTAAATAAATTATTCTAGTTTTGAATTAATGTTACTCCATAGGTGTAAAGTTTCCCAATTGTATGGAAACTATAATCTTTTTTTGTATATATACTATGTATATATATATTATGAATTCATTGTTGCCAATAAAACAATTAAAAATAGGAATTGTCACCCTAATATTTCCCTCTACCCTTCATATATTTATGATTATTATTATTTATTTTTAATTAAATACTAGTCAGCTTTTATTATTTTATTTATCCATTTTTTCTTCTTTTTTTTTCAGACTGTGATCTTGCAGATTTGTGTTTAGACAGAAAACATGAGGAATTATTAAGTAGGACCGGAGTTACCGAAAATAGAAGTATCAAGCAAAAGAATTCAGACAACAATTCGTATTGTTTAGATGGAAGTATAACTGATTCAAAGTCTGTTCAATCACAACATTTGAATGATCATTGGCAGCTTAATATAAAACTTGAAAAACCTAGTAACTCAATAAAAAATGAATCGATATCACCTTGTTTAGGTGAGGTGGAAAAAGAAACAGATTCCTCCCCTCAAACTGTTTCGGAACAACCACAATTACATGGCCAAGGTTTGAAAAGAAAAGTTGAAAATACTATTTTTCAAATTGCTTTTAAAAGGGATAAAATTAAGCTGACTAAAGATGATTTAATTCAACAAAGAAGTGCTAGTGCTCTTGAACGTGAACTTCGTTTGCAGAAAAGTCTATCTGAAGAATGTGAAGATTTAGGTGTAGACAAACCTAGTACAAGTGACCTATTTCCAGAAGCAGAACTTTTATTAGATTCTGATCCTTTAAGTAGAGATAGTCTTCAAGGAGAACTTTTTTCAAGAGCAGAATCATCATCCAGTAGTCTAAGTTCTCCCAATTGTAGTCCTGTATTGGCTAGTAAACTTAGTAATAGTTGGAAGAACCAACAAAGGTCTATTTTGAGGCATAAATTCAATTATAGTAGAAGTGTTAGTCCTGTTAAAAAAAATTCCTTTGATAAAAATGACTCTTTGAAAGATACTAGTCATTCAAATTTGCATTCAAACTCTTCTAAAGGTGTTGGTTATGATATAAAAAACTCTAGTAGCTTTAAATGTTTGTCAAAAGTAAAAGAAACAATTTCTGGCCGTGATCCAGACCTTAGTATGGAGTGTACTGATAGTGATCCTTGTAATTTTTCTGATGTAGATGATGATTGCCATGATACTGATATTTTAGATACTGAAGGTGATTCTGATATTGACTTTCTTCCAAAAACTCCAAATATAAAGCATTGTAATTCTCAAAAAGATCTAACTGTTGAAAGAACAAATGAATCGTCATTGTTGAGTAGATTATCTCATTCACCATATAATAAATGTGATTATTATTCAAACAAAGATAGTATAGTTGAAAAAAGGAATGTTGATACATCTCCATGGTATCATGTAACTAAAGGGGCTCACAAAGAAACTTTAGAAGCTGGTGTAGATAAAAGTAATAATGGTACAATTAGAGAAGGAATGAATGAATCCGTGAATGGGACTTTGGAAGACTTTGATGATCAACAAGATTCATTAAATAACTACAGCCCTGTTAAAGTTTTTCAGGGTAGGAAAAGAAAAAAAATTGGACTTTTTTTAGCTAGTCCTAGTGAAGAAGAGAGTGGTAGTTCATCGGACACTGTATTAGCTGGTTCTGATTCATGTTCTGGCTTTCATGACAATCTCAGTAAGAGATCAAATGCAAGAGGTAGGATTAAGAAAGGATGTCCTTGTTTTAATGGATCCCCTGAACCTAATAAAAAAAAGAAGGATGTACCAATTACTGAGAAGACTGATAAACCCTGTTCTACAAAAAGCTCCTCTTATAGTACAAAAAAAACAATAAATAAAAGCACAGTTAAAATTGTTAATAGAAAAAGGTAGTTCAAGTATCGAAAACCCTTTCATTGTTTAAATGATTCCCCTTTAACATTTGTATTGTATTATAGTGTCTTTAACCATGATTTTAGTTTTATATTAATAAATATTTATATTAGTATGTTTGTGTAAGTTTTATGTGAAAAAAGGGGAAACATTTTAATTACAAAATATTAAAGTAACAAGAACATTTTTTATTATTATTTTAAACTGCTCTCCATTCTATCAGGTTTCATTGTAATTAATTACTTTAAATGAGTGTATGTTCTACCATGGTTTTGAGTTTTATCTTCATCCTTGTTGAAAACTTATTTGTATTTTACAATGTTGTATTTTACAAAAATTGCCCAGAATTAAAAAAAAAATAGTTTTTCATTGATATTTTTTATTCTTTTATTTTTCAAAAATATATTTGATATCATTTATTTGTTATTGTGTCTAAGTATCATCTAGTCTGAAAAATAATTTATACATCACATTAATATCATCTCCATCTAAATTAAGTTGTAGAACGTGAATTTCTTTGATTAATGTTACCATTTTTAACAAAATTTCGTAGTGATGGAGCTTTTAAGAAGCTTTAATCATGCAGCTGATTTTGAGGAAATTTGAGGTTATTTTTAATCAAAGCTATTCCGAGTTAAAAGTGCTTGTGATAAATGAATAATGATGAAAAGAAAAAAAAAATTGCTGTAAACTAGTTAATCTCCTATTTTTGCTCAATGTCTACCTGATATAGTTCAACATTAAAAGCAATGATGCAACAATTTTTTATTCAGTATAGATCCAAAAATAAAATAAAATAATAAATTCTGGGTTGTTTTTTCATGCAGTTGGGCTTTATATTTATACTAATGTTTATTTTTTGTTACATTTAAGATATGTTTTTTATGGATTTTTAATTAAGTAGCATGGCTGAGAAATTTATTTTTTATTTTGGGAGTTTCTCTTCTTCATGTAGTTAATTTTTACTTGAATATTGTGCCATTTATGAATGCAGTTTTAAAGTTCTGGAAAATTATAGAAATTAGTTTTTGTGCCACCCAATTAAGGATAGTGGAGTCCTATTACTATTATCTATACATATTTATATTTTAACGGTCATAAATTAGTTACAGTTATATCAGTTTCATTAATTATTTTTCTATTTTGTATACAACGTGTTTTCTTAGAAATACTATGCAGTTAAAACCGTTAATAAATAAACTAAATTAGTAACTGGAACAGTTTAATGTTACTATATTAAATTATATGAACAAATTCATGCGTATGTAATGCTGCTTCTTGATTTAATTTATGGCAAACTAGACTTCTTTAATGAGTTTATTATATTAGTTAAAAAACAAACACATTAAAATGTTTACAGGAAATCATAAGAGTAGCCATCTAAAGTGTTAAGGATATTATTGAAAAGTAGTATACTAAGTATTACTTCTGCTTCTATTAGCTTTATTTTACTATTGTTTGTTGTTTGCTTCTTTATTTCTAATTTTCACTGATTTTGTTCATTTAAAATTACTTTTGGTAATTATTTAAAAATCCGATCTCCTTTTATATGTCTCTGTTGCAGATTATAATGCATATTAAAGTAGATGGGTAATTTTCATTTATTCCAAATGTTTAATTCAGTTTGAATAAGTAGTCACTATTAGGATATTTTTTTAGCAACCTGTTGCATATTCTGTTAAAAATTATTTTTAACTGGCTTTCATAACTAAATTTCAAAGTGTAAAATAAAATTCTTATTCTCATAGACTTGTGGACTTAAGTATGTATTGGTGATTATTAACTAGAGTTTGTTAGTATTTTGAATTGAATGATTGAAAAGCGATTATTCTGTATAAAAATATATTTAAATCCATACATTTAATTTTTAAATGCATACGATTCTGCTTTTCATCACTTAAAATACTATTTTAACTACAATTATTTATATTGTGAATATTAATATGTTGTGGGATGTGTTATTTTGGTGTTCCAGTTCAATTTAAGCTTTAAAAAGTTGTAAATGTTATGGAATTTGTTTTATCTTCATTATTTAATGGGAAGAGATTGATGTAGTAATACCTGTAATTCTGTTTACCTGAGAACTCATCAAATTATGAGTACATATTCTTTACATTTATTTTATCATTACAAAGTTACATTATTTTAAAATGTTCTTGTACATTAGTGATTGATTTTAAAATATCCTTAACTATAAATAAATAGATTTGTAATAGCTTTTTAAGAGGAAATGAAAGGGTTTGAAGCTTAAGAAAAGGTTCATTTGTTAGACTAAACAAATCTCTTTTTGGGGGTTGGGTATCACAACCTTTCCAATCCAATACCATATCTTAAAAGCATTAATACATATTTTAGAAATCTGTTAATGCTCATTCATGAAGCGATTCTTCCAAAAATTTATAAATTTGTACTTATAACTAGTCTTAATCTATAGAATATTGTAGAAAATTTTAATTTTTACCTGTGATTGTTTTTGAAGGTGTATTGTCCTTTTATTTGAATTTTTTGTTGCTTACTGTTTTTAAAATAATTATAAAAATTTCTTATTGATTAATTGCAATTTTTTACAGTATTGGTTTTCTTCACTCTTGCAGAACAAGATTTACTGTTAAACTTTATTTTTTTCTTTTTGGGAAGAATTAACTTCTTTTGCAAAACTTTTTTTTAAAAAGTTTGTACTTTATGTTGGGCTATTGTTTTAGTTTTATGTTTTAATGTTTTAAAATTTATTTTATTTATTGAAACTTGACATTACATCACTATATATGTATACATGTTGCTAATAATTAATTAAAAATATTCTCTTATTTATTCTCATAATTTATTTTTAATTTCAATTAAAATTTAAAAATTAATTATTGCTTTTAGTTTTAAATTATGTTTATTTGTTATGATCTGGTTATTGAACTATGATTGAACTATGGTGATTATCATTTGAATAATCAATCAATTTTGTTTAGGTTATATTAAAATCACTCTGAATAATCTTCTCTTTATTGTAATTTCAAACACATAATCACACAATTTCTAACAAGATATGTATTTTAAATTTTAGTAATGAACAATTTCTATTTCGTTTTTCCAAAATTATTTTCTTCAAGTTTCTATTTTTTAGAAAACTATGTAAAAGTTTGGTAAATTATAATTTAAACAATTGTTAGCTTAATAAAATGCTCCCTTAGACAATAGGTGTAATATTATCATTATAGTAAATAAATATTTTATCAAATCTATCAACAAACATTTTCTTTAAATTATTATTTTTATTTATCTTCACGCAAAGGTACGTTTGGACTTAAATATATTTTTCATAATTCTCTTTAATTTCATTGTTTGTTTTATTTTCTACATGATAATTAATCACTTAAACAGCACCTTAACAATTTAATTTTTATTAATTATTTTTGTTATATATTTTTTCAATTTTTATTCTAACTTATATATGTTTAATTTAATCATAAAAATATATTATTTTTCATATATCTGATGTGTATCCCCTCAGAAAAAATAAATAATTAAGAAAAAAAGGAAAGAGAAAATAAATTAATTATTTGGTTATTTATAAGGTGTACTTAATCTATTTGTATTTTTTAAAAATAATTAAGACATTTTCAGTAATAAAATGTGAAGTATTTCACAAAGTAAGTTTTTAATGGTATTCACAGATGTGCCATTTTAAGTATATGACAGAACATTTTTTTTTTTTTACATAATTGCCTTAAAATAATATTATTCTTCATAATACAAGCACAACATGTGTTCTGCGATATGCGCCTAAATTATCTGAGAGCAATTAAAACTTAAATATACATTATTCTAAAAAATTATTAGTGAACAATAATACTATACATAGACTGAAATAATTTATTATATAAGTATTAAGAAAGAAACTAGCTTTTGCAGATAATTTCGTGATTATAGTTTATTTTAACCAAAATTCTATTATATCCAAAGGTAAAATATGGATATTTTATTTCTTTATACACACATTTATTAATAAATCAACGCACATTATCCATATATACATAAAATACAGAAACTGAATAATGAACATTTAGGTGTGTATACTTTTGAATCATACATTTGAGTACATTGAAAAAATTGTTTTTTAAATTGTTCTTTTGATGTCAAGTCAGTACAGTACACCTTCAGGTTTCAGAATTTTTAGTAAATTAAATTTGCACATTGTATCAATTTCTTATATGTATGATTATGACAAAGTAGATTTTTTGTTTATATGTCTCTGTGTGTATAAATATAAGTAAATAAATAAATATCTTTATATTTATACAATCATACATGTATCTGCACTTAGGTATTTTCTTATTGTATTAAATGCATCAAGTATTATTAAACTGCCAAACCTGAAAAGCAATTTGTTTTTTATTGTTATATAAACACTGTTCTTGAAACTATATTCTCTGTTATGTGAGGTTATTCCTTATTTTTTTACTATAATTCAGAAAAACTTATGATTTTTTACGTTATTTTACTTCAGTATTTGCATTTTTGTAGTATTATTAGTATTTGTTACCAGTTTGGAAAGTTACCGATCAAGAAGTCTTTTATTTATATTCCTTTTTTTTCTTTATATTTTAATTTTGAATTTCTTATTAGTATTATATATATATATATATATATATATATATATATATATATATATATATATATATATATATATATATATATATATATATATATAATCAGTTAGTTAAAATAATAATTTATTGTGTTATGTAAATATATTTCATTAATTATTTTTTTATTGTATTTCTTTATTTTTATTTAAGTTAATTTTATTGTTAAGTATGTTTTCAGAATTTATTAAAACAAAATAACATTCTGTTGAGAATTATTTTTTTCTATATAAGCCAAACTTTAATCTATTTAATAAATTCATAAAATAAAAGAGTCTCTTAAACTTGATGTTCTATAATGGAAATAGTAAATGTTTTCAAAAAAGTGAAAAATATTTGAAAAGAAATATCTGTTTTCATATTTTTAGTGGATTTCTATTTTTGGTACTATGTTATATTTTCCTCATAATACTCATACTTTAAAATGAGGATAAATAATTTTATTTGAATCAAGTTAAGCTTGTGTAATATGTATATTAAGTACAATAATTTGTAGTAATGATAATTGAAATTGTATATGTATATATATTTATATATATATATAAAATATGTGTATATTAACGTTTTTTACCATTGTAACATAACGTAAGTTGAAAGGATTGTAAAACAGATTATATTGTATAGTATAGATCTTCATTGGGTCAAATTGTATTTTAATGTTATAAATTGTGCCAAATCTGTTAGTTATTGGTTTAAACATCATTAATATTGATGCACTCCTTACCTCTAACATTGCATTATCTTTCTTCCATTTTTGTAAATAATGTAATTTAAAAATTCTTTTAGCAGTAAATTTAGGAAGTAGTGTTTATTGAAGTTTCCTAAATTTTTGAAAATATGACTTTGATACATTTAAAACATTATGATGTACATATATATAGAAAAATCATACAGTTATTTTGATAAGTTTTTATTACTTCATAAACAGTGAATAAATTTTAAATTCTGTCAAGATGAGATTAGTTGATGTTAATTATGAAACTAAGCTCTGATATTTGTTTTGATGGTGAATTTAATTATTATTAGGATTTTACAATAATTGATTAATTATTAGTGACCATTGTTTACTATTTCTGTGTATATGTATAAAGAATTTGTAATTATAAAATAATACATACTTGGTTTTATTAAAAATTATACCTTTTTACTGATTTTGTCACATTTATTTTTAATGTTTACCTATTGAAAGCTAAAATAATTTCTCAAGACATTATATTAGTAATGAAATACTCCTACTGCTTAAGGGTTAAACATAATAGGTAAAATAAAAAGTAAATTATGTTATAATGTTTCTGCAATATTTTATTTTAATTTTTTCTTATGTGGAGACAATTGACCTGTCATAGAAAGGGTTTTAAATCATTCCACCATCACATGATGTGAACGTACTAGTTTAATATAATTTAGATTTATGATAATGGATTAATAGTTGACTGTTTCATATATATTGTAGAGAAGTTAATTATAGAGTATGCAGTCACAAGTAAAAGTAAATAAGTTATATTTATTTTTATTTTTGCTAACGTTTAGGACTTCGTAAGAGCTAAGAAAAGACAAGATAACAATAGATATGAAAAAATAGTAACGGTAAAAAATAATATGTAGGTGGAAGTTATAGTAGTCTAGTAACATCAGTGGTGGATCCCGGAATTTTCTCAGGGGGGGGGACTCACCTCTGTACCAGGTGCTTCCCCCACCCCTACCTATTTTCCCCTCACTTCTTAGCTGAGTTTAGCCACTCAAGAGTCTTCTTTAAATGGCTTTAACAAAAGCAAACTATTTTTATTTAAAGTAAATTGTGTCTAGTTTACAGTGAAGGAATCGATAATTACTTAAATTAAAAAGTTTTTTAGTTGTCACTTCCTATTCAACAAAAAATGTGACTTCGAAAATTACAAAACTTTAATTTCCTACTTTCCAGCTGAAAATCGAACCATTATTTATATAAACTTTTTTGTAGTTCTTGAGTTCTGCTATCACTCCTTTAAATATTTCCCTCTACTTAGGGGTCACCCTGTACAGGGGTACCCATCCCCCCAAGGTTGATGTTAATGACAGTGCAAGCTGAAGTATAATTTTAGTAGGGTTGCCCAAAATTGGTCTTGGTCTTTGTCTTGCACTTTTGCAAAACCAAGACCACAAAAATTGTTGCCAGACCAGACCATGCAAGTCTTGCGCAAGACCAAGACCAGACCCTGTAAGTCTTGCAGTTAAGTCAAACTGAGACTATTTTCAGTTATAGTACGGTGCTTAAACATGTTAATAATCTATTCTAAATAGCGTTGTTTTTTCTTGTGGGATTGTATATTTGAGTATAGCTTTTCAAATAATATTTTTTTTATTAACGAAATTTAGAACTGTAATTAATAATAAATACAACAAGTAAATATGAACAAGTAATATGACATGTACAACATGAGGAGAAACTACCCATTGGTAGTGCTCCATCAAGTAATAATAAAAATTATTTCCTTGCGTAATATTCAATTTTTTTTCAAGCATTAAAAATTCTGGGTTTATTTAGCTACTAAATACGTTATATGTATATAGAATAGAGTAGAAGAATCAACTTTATTCTCGGACAAAGTCCCTTGAGAATAACAATATTGTACATAAAAATTAACATGACATCTGGCCAAAATGCATATTACAATAAAAAAAACTAAAAAATAAGTAATAACAGAAGGATTTACATAACTATACTGATATATTAAAGACATAATATGAGCAATAAGGTCCTAATACTGCAAGATAGTTACTAAAAACAATGAACTATGGAATGTTAAGTGAAATTTGAAATGAACGACAAATTAGTTTCGTTGTCATACCATTGTATTAATGCAAAAAAATAAAGAGTGGATAAATATTTACTTTAAATGATATACATATGTACTTTAATATGATTAGAGCAGATTGTGTGGAGTAGCCTGGTCGAAAACCAGACTGGTAAGGGTCAAGTTGGTTGGACTGTTCTAGGAAGTTGGAAACTTGGGATTGGACTATTCTTTTTAGAGGATTTGCAAGGTTAGAAAGGATTGAGATTGGATGGTAGTCTTCAGGGGAAGAAGGGTTAGGATTTTTAAGTAAAGGAGGATAATGGCTTTTTCCCCTGAGGAAGGAAATATTGCGTTCTGAAGGGAGAAATTGTAGATGAAAAGGGGAACTGGAAGGATTTCAGGTAGGCACAATTTGATTAATTTGACAGGAATACCATTTAGATCAATGGATTTGGAATGAGATTTCATCACGGCGGATATGAGGTCTGTAGGAGAAATATCTGAAAAATAGAAGTTGCCGTCGTTAAATGATATTCCAGAAGTAAAGAAGGAAGAGGTTGATGGAGGAATGAAGGAGGAAGCTGATATAAAATATGAATTTAAATCATCAGGTTTGATTGGAAAGACTGCTGAGGAAGGTGATCTGGAAGAATCACAGAGGGAGAGTTTATGAAGGAGTTACCATATATATATATATCAAATAAGATATTATACTTTGTTTTTTTTTTTATCTTGATAAGTTTGAAATTTGGTTCATTCTACTGTTAAACTAGTTTCTCAAAAACTGATAGATTTTTATTACAAATTTCAGATAATGCCAATATTATTAAACTTTCCGCTAGCAAAATAATATTTTCATTTTTTTAATACTTGTACCTGAAACAGGATTCAGAACTTTAACATAAAATTTAGTATCAAGTCATTTTATCTTACCTTATTTTTTAAACCCTTTTGTGGACACGTATCGGTTAATTCTCATTCATGAATTGTTCTTCATTTTTCTTATAGTTCTTCGTTCTTATAATTGATAATTTTTTTATTGTACATCCTACCGACTTTTTATCTTTTCTTTTTTATTTTATTTGATATATAACGTCTGACACAGAACTACATTAACGTTTATTGTTAATGTGGTCATAATAGTTATTATCAGGAGTGCCCATCTCCCAAGGCCGATGGCGCATACCCTCCCCTCCAAAAAAAATATTATTGCCCCTCTCACTTATATAATTAATATGTATCTATATGAGATGTAATATCAATCTTAGTTTAAAAGATAGCAGATATAACATTTTTTTCTCGAGAATATTAAAGGCACAATACTTTAGGCAATTACAATCAACAAGTAACATCAGTAATATTTAGAGGAGGCAAGCTCCCCCCTGCCCTCCTCTGCGTATGCTCATGTCAGGAATTTCATTATTATTTTGTTTTAAAATATTTTCCTTTTGAATGAGAATTTCATCTGAAATAATGTACCCCCTGAGCGTTGTCAAAAGGGGGTACATTAATTTAAAATAGGGGGGAGGGCAATCAATTTGAAGATGGAGAAATTAGTTTTTATTTCTAATTAGTTTATTTTAGAATGTTGAAACGACCTGTCACTGATAATAACATTTCATAAGTTATTGAAGAGAAGATTAGTTGGGGTGTTCAGTCAAAAAGGAAGGCAAAAATAAATTATAATATTTATTTTTTACATATGCCGACGTTTCGACCTGAAGTTCAGGCCTTCATCAGGGCTAAGAAAATAACCAGATAACAAGGTATGAGAAACATAAGTAATGATGGTAAAAAAGATAATAAAAAAAAAAAATTATTAGAAAAATAAAATAGATAAATATAAAGTAAAATGAAATTGTTAGAATAATGACTAAGAACTAAGAGATAAATAATAAAAACTGTTTCATAGTGTGGAATGATGAAGTAGGCATAATCAAAAAGGGGTGACAAAAGTGTTACAATGGGAATCTTAGAATAAAATGTAAAACATAAAAAAGAAATATAAAGTTATATAAGAAATGAAAATAAATAGTAAAATTAAAACATTGAGAATGGAGTAGTTAGATAGAAAATTGAGATATTGTAAAGTCTATCAAGATGTACAGACAATGTATAATATAATAAAGAGTTAAAAACAGAGAAAAGGAATGAAAGGAAGGAGGGAAGAAATTGAGAAAGCTGAAATAAGAAATAAATAAAAGAAGTACTACCTTTC